CCCCCGCCGAGCCCGCGGCGGGCGCGGGCGAGGGCGGCGGCGAGGCGGGCGGCGAGGGCGGCGCGGCCCGGAGGAGCCTCAAGGAGAAGTACGACGAGTTCTGATGCGGTTTCCGCCCGTGCGGACGCACGCCCCTTTGGCGCTGCCGACGAGGACGGCGCGTCGCCCATCTGCCACCGGGCCCCAGAGGGCCCTTGGCTGCGGTTTGGCCGCCGCTGGTTCGTTGCTCACGCCGCGCGCTGTGCGGTGCAGGCGGCCTGCGAGGGCAAACACACATATCGATGTCGTGCCTTGGCAGCATCGGTGCTGCGTTCGGCACTTGGCGCCCGCGCGCATCAAGCGCAGCGCGACTGCGGACATATGGTGTGGCCCCTCCGCGTCATGACGTCCCGACCGGCCCCCACGTCCGATCAATGCGCAGCTTCCTCGCTACTGTCGCGCCGCGCCTCGATTCTGCAGGCGTGCCACACGTTGCAATTTGACAACCAGAGCGCAGGTTGCCTGGCAACCCGCGGTTGGCTTGCGCCTGCCCAGGCAGCGTGCAGCCTTGACAATGGACGCCCGCGGAGTGTGTGCGCTCCCCACAGGCTGCTGTTGCAGCGCGCTGGCGTTGCCACAGCCGCATGGCACAAAAGCTCTGTAAACATGTGCTCGCAGAGTGGCGTGCGGGGCGCGTCAGTTGTCAAGGGGCGAACACGGCTGTACTGCCGCAACAGGGGAGGCCGTCACGCATCACTGAACCTGTGCGGAGACGAAGGCAGAGTTGCAGACGCCACAGGGTCTGGTGCGGTGTTGGCGTGGGGCGGCCAGGCACGGAAAGGGTGGGTCGGTGGATGGCGGTTGCGCCTGAAAGCGGCGGGCGCAACGCGGGTGGCTGCGGCAGTCCATTCAGCAGCGTAAACCTCAGTCAGCCGTGGGCCTGCAGGGGGGCGCAAAGCGGAGCTGGTCTGTAGACAGCGGGGCAGCAAAGTTATCAGGTTGGAAGGTGGGAGGAGGGGGGACCTGATGCAGTGGCATGGAGTTGTCAAACAATTTTTCCTCTAAGAACAAGAACTACAAACATCATAGAGATTACGCACAGAACACCTTGGATGCAAGTGAAACGAATGTACCCCACCTGCCTAGGAGTCATAGTTGGACGACACCGTCTCACCGGGGTTTGCAATGAAAGCTTGGTCACGCCTGTTAAATCAAGAGCCTTGGTGTGTTGGGGTCAATGTGCTCATCCCTGCAGGTCCTGGCAGCACACCGGCTAGCACTGGCAGTCAGGTCGTGTTGACCATGCTGCGTTAGCATGAGGCCAGCTCAAGGGAGTTCCACAAGGCCAATTGGAGTCGGATAGCTCATATGATAGTCTCTGACGCGCTGCTACTCCCCTCTTTCTGCCACGCATGAGCTCGCCTCCCTGGCACGAAGATCACACGTTCGCGGCATGCCATTCAATTCGCCGCTGGTGCGTAGCATCGACTCAATTGTACCTGAAAAATACTCTTCTCGCGGTTACACGGCGTGACCATGGGTTGATTGGGGGACATCGCCCACAACTGTGGGTCACCTGGTGGCAGTGCACCGATGCCCACGCTCGCAACGCGCGCACCAATGCCGCTTGCCCACCTCCCCGCTCCTGCCGTCACATATAGATTTTGTGCACACCATAAAGCATAAGCATATTTTGCCTCGCAGACTCGACCACATGCCAACTGCTGCTGAGGCGCTCGCGCCCGCTGCCATCGACACCGCATGGGACGCCCCTTGTTTGCGGCAGCCCTGGCGGTGCTGCTGGCTGCCGTCGCGCTCATACCCAGCGCCGCAGATGCACCCGGGCACGGCGCGTCGCGTTCAGCAGCCGCCGCAGCGCGCCCAACTGGCTCCCTGCGCAAGGCCAGCGTCGGCAGCGCGGGCGGCGGCGCGCAGCTCGCCGCAGCGCTTTGGCCTGCGGGGGAAGAGGATTGCCCGGTGACATACTCTGACGTCACCGAGCCGCTGCTGTTTGGGGGGCGCAGCAACGCCACCTGCACATGCGCCGGCGGGAGCCCCTGCGGCCGCGTGGGGCGCTGCCAGTGGTGCCGCGACTGGTGAGGGCCTGGGGCGCAGGGCAGGCGGGACGCGGACGTTCAGCTACGAGCGGCCGCTGCAGCCCGTCCATCACACCATCGGCAACAGCGCGCTCAAAGACCGCTTGCCTTTTGAGCATCAAACGCTGCAGTGTTCTCACTCGACCGATCCCCGCGCAGGACTCGCATCTGCCGCTTCGACGCCGCCGCCACTCAGCCGCTGGACTGCACGGCCGATCAGACCGCTGCCGCGCAGCTGCTCGCGAACAGGGCGGAGGGCGGGGCCCCGCTGCGGCTGTCGCCGTGCGATCTCTACCCCTATCTTCGGGGGCGCACGCTGTGGCTCATTGGGTGGGTGGCCTGCCAAGTGAGCACAGCCGCAGGCCTGGCCGCACAGCTCATGGCGGGGGGTGACGACAGGAAGCCAGGGGGAGCAGACCACTGAGCGACGGGAGGAGCTGCTGCCGCTGCAGCATTAACGTGCGCACAGCAGCAACGTGTGTCCGCAAATCCTCACCCTAGTACACCCTTGCTTCCTGTGTGAATCCTGGGTCGTTTTTCAATCATGCGCCGAAATGCACACCCCTGCCCCTGCTTCCACGCCTCACTGCCCCACCCCCATGGACGATGGTTGCTGGGCCCTCCCCCCCGTTATGTGTTGCAGCGACTCCAACACGCGGTCGCTGTTCAGGGCGGCGCAGTGCTTCCTGTTAGACCTGTGGGAGGACCAGCGCGTCTGCGCCCCCAGCACGGATCCGAATTTGGTGCGCCAGCTCGACGCGCTGCCCCTCAAGCCGGGCACCCCCAAGTGCATCCACCTGGCGGGCGGCGGCCGCGTGTGCATGGTCCACGTGGTGCAGGGCTGGGCGCTGGCGAACAACACGCAGGTGGGGTCCTGCAGCATCGGGGCTGCGCAAACACGGGCTCTTTTCAGATGCTATTCACTTCGCGCGCCCAAGAGCAGGACCGACCCAGCACCCCAAGCATACACCTTTGCTGGGCATATCTGCGCCGCTGTTGCATGCCCCTTTTCCAAGAACGACTGCGGCCCAAGCGTGCCTGTGCCGCTGCCGGCATCGGTCTCCCAACCGCCGACGAACTGCCGCCGCTTTGTCGCCACTGCAACGCGTGAAATCGCATCAGGTCGCTGGTGGCGGCGTGCTGCCCCTGCTCTACTCCAATTTCTCATCGCCGCACGACATCGTGGTGGTCAACTTTGGCAACTGGCACGGACCCAGGGCAGAGCCAAAGTCACAGGAGTATGTGTTGGCGTACAAGCAGGCGCTGCGGCTGCTGGGCAGCTTCTACCTGGTGAGCGGAGGGCTTGCAGTGCTCCCACGAGGCTGGAACTGGTGTCTTGCCCAGGGTTAGGGCATGTGCACGCCTTGCTGCGTGATGTCACCTGCAATCTCAGTTTGGCTGCCTGCTGTCGACTACAGCGGCCTCTACCCCATAAACGCCTCCCACCTCCTGACTACAACTGGCCCCATGCATGCCCGCCGCACCGCTGCCAACCCCTTCAGGCAACCGTGGAAACGCGGCCTCACCTGATCTTCCACGAGTCGGCCTCGACCCACCCATACCACCCGGCGTCACGGGCCTGTGTCGATTACCCAGACCCTGCCGCTGTGGGCGGCGGCTCGTTCAATAAGGCCGCACAAGAGGTGCTGAGAGATTACGGCGTCCCTGTCGTCGGCGACGCCGCTGCGTTCACTGCGCCGGCCCCCTGGGGCCACCCGGGCGCGCGGGCGCAGGGCGGCAGGGACGGGGTGGAGCAGGGCGACTGCATGCACTTCTGCAGTCCAGGAGTGACGGAGGTGAGCGTTCGGCCGGTGTTCGTAGGCATGGGGAGGCTGAGTCTGCTTGAGTGTCCACCGCGTGCGCAGCTGCACACCAACGGCATAGCCCACACATGCAATGACCATACATCTGCTCATATCAGTGCTTGCCGCTGTCACCCACCGCGGAAAACCCACGCACGCAGCTGCTGCTCTGGACGCTATGGCAAGCGTTCAACAAGGGCGTCGCCGGCATTGCACCCCTGCCTCCTGACGTGGGTGCCACGGAGTGGGGTTGCAGCGAGATGCGCTATTACTAAGAACAATATAGCTACCTCCGACAAGACAGGTGAAACAGCCTCTTCAGCACCAGGCTGCCTTCTGCAGCGCAAACTCTGCACTTCAGGCCTTCAAAGCACACAGGAGGGGGCATCACGCTTGATCGTCTGAGCCTAGGCGAGGGCGCCCTCGTCAAGACCACTGTTTGAAGGCCACAGATGCTGTGAGACAGCACCGGCGGGCGCCCGAGCTGGTGCTGCGGCGGCCGATGCAACGGGCCCTTGGCGGTTGCCAGCACGGGTGTCGCTGGCGCCCAGGAGACGCTGCATCAGCGGCCGCGCTGGCACGGCAGCAGTGGCGTCGCGTGCGACAGGGTGCTGTTCTCGTCGCACAGTACGTATCAAGCGCTGCAAAAACGACTTTCCCGCGCTGGGACGCAGTCCTCATGCGGGTGGTGAGCTGCCGCATTACGCTCCTCGTCGCACATGCCCGTGCATTCGGGGGCGGCTCCCAGCAGAGTGTCCGCGGCTTGGCTGCCTGCAAGGCAGGTTTTTACGAGCGAAAGTGGGCTGTGCAGGATCAAGGCAACGGCCACGCTGGTGCCAATCACACACATGTTGAGGTCGGCTGAGCAGCGCTTAGCTGTCGGCCACGCCACCTGCAAGCAAGGGGCCAGGGTTCACGAGACTTCTTTTCAATCCTCTCATTGGGGCAAGTACAGTCCATTTTGACCCAGCTGATGTGAGCATTCAAGGCAAGCACACGCAGTGCGACTGGCCGGCCAAGGTTCCTGTATTGCCGTGATGGCGCGCCGCTGCCCGGCAGCTGCCCCGGTTGCAGACAGCCAACAGCGCGGCGATGCTTGCGGCGCGCCATGTAGAGTGGTTTCCATGAGAAATTCACGCGCCTTACCAGATAACGATATCAATTGCCATTTGGGGGCGATTGGCACTGTGAGAGAGTGCCGTCCTGCGCCTTGACTGAGTTCCAACATGCTTGCCGCCTACTACTTTGCTTGCCCAGCAAATCCATGCAGCTACGCCCGGCGCAGTCGGCGCTTGGGTTTGTTCGGTCCACAGCGCGCGCTCCCGCTCCCCTGCAAGGTTGGGGGCGCCGGCAGTCAGCTGTCTTGCCGCTGCCCGGCATGCACACACAAGAGCACTGCCTGCATGGTGCCCTCACTTCACGCCGCACCTCGGAGTGGTTGACAATGCAGTATATTCCAGCCGCCGCGGCTGCCGGCATGCGGAGCGACGCCACCCTGGCCTCGGCCGCGCCCAACACACGTGACAACGCAGCCCGGCAGGGCGGGGCTCGAGCGTAGAGGGGCACCCTACGCTCAAGCCCAACCTTGTGCGTGGGCGCGTGGGCCATCGGCCCCGCCGCCGCCGCTCTTTTCGCGCCGCTGCGCCGCCCCACCCTTTGCACTGCACGCCAGCATCGCACTGTGTGAAAAAGTGAGCACACACACCAACAGCTGCAGAGGAGCCGCCCGCGTTGTTATGCCGCGGCAGAGTGCAGCGCGTTGCCGTGGTCGGTTTTCACCTTGCTGTGCGCCTCGTGGCCTTCCCCGTTTATTTGGTTCAAGAGCCGGGACGCGCGCGCTCATCGTGCTGTGAGCATCATTGGGAGCGGGTCAGCAATCGAGCCCTCATGGCAAATGGCGGGCCTGTATACCTGCTGCGCGCGATCGTCGCCGCCTGCCGGCGCCGATCTCCCGCTCGGATGCTCAGCTCGCGTTGTGCAGCCCTGCAGGGGCAGCTTCTCCCTCCGCCCCTCGTCCCGATTTTGGCACCACCAACACGCGCGGGCGCTCATGCACATGCTGCTGCTCTCCCCCTTTTGCGGCGTCACCAACACTGCATTACACCACCCCCCACCCTTTGCCCCCACTGCGACGGCCTGCACCTTGATGAAGCGGCTGAACATCCCCTGCTGGACTGCCCTGCCTGCGCGGACATGCGGGCCGCGCCGCGCTTCGCACCCTTGTTTGCGGACCTTCCTGCACATGTCCGCATTTGCGCCCTTGTGCGCTGTGCGGACCAGCACGCACTTGAGCGGGGCCTTTGTGCACGCCTGCTTTGACCGGCGAACAGTGACCACTCGAATCCCTGTCACACAATGCTGATGCTACAAAGTCATATCCCATGAGCCTGGATGGCTCCAGGAGCGGGCGACCGCGGGAACTTGTAACATTCCCAATCCTAATCCAGCTTGTGTGCCGGCCGTGCTGTGCGGACAGGTGACTGATCACCGGGGGCGATCATCACAAGCACCGAGCGCTGGGTGCGGCCTGCCACATGCGCACCATACGTGCAGGTGCGAGCGAGTGCTGTCCGCGCTCCCCGCGGCAGGCCAGCTCCTGTATTACCCCGCCCAACTGCTCGGCCGACTCCACAGCCGGAGCCGGGCAGAGCTCCCAGCGTGCTGCTGCTGGTTTTGTTGGGGGTGGGCGGGCGCGGCCACGGGCGCCATTGCCGCCCCCCTCACTCCTGGGATGGCCGGGGGCGTCAGCAGTTTCGAGCAGCAGGCCGAAGGGCCTCGTCCCGCTCCCGGCGGCGGCGGCCACTTGCGCGCGCGATGTGCCATCGGCAGTGCGGAGGTCTGCGGCGTGCGTGGTGCCCCTTGCGTTGCTGCTACCGCTGTCCAACGGGCTGGCACGCAAACTGCCGGTGGGTGTGGCGGCCGCCCGTGCTGCCGAGACTGCATGCGCGGGTCGCCCAACAGTCAGCCCCTGCATGGGGCGTGCGGGGCCGGCCTCTTCAAGCGCTGCCTGCGCTGCAGTGCGCTAGCAACAGCCGCCATGCCCCAACGCTGAGCCCCCAAAACCTGGCCACACGTTGACATTGAGCTTCAGCTTGACAACGTTGCATCCAAGCAGGGGGATGCACCCGCAGAAGAACACAGGAAAACTGGGAACCACAGCAAGTATACCAATGTGCAGAAGCTGCCGAACAGGGTGCCTGCACAATAGGCGTCTCGACAGAAAGCGACGCCCCATCGCAGGGGCCGCCGGCTGTTTTGTACACGGAACGGTGCGGGGATGCGGCGCAGGGCGCTGTGCTCTGGCCCTGCGCCCCGCGGCACTGCATGGGGTTGCCAGTGTGTTGCTTCCGCTGGCTCTCTCAGTGCGGCAACCTGCTTCGATCTCGAGCGCGGCTTCAGGGCAGATGGCCTGCACTCTGTAAAGCGCTCATGCCTCTCAGCACAGGGAAAGGGGCTGCACAGCACCAACTTGGATGCTGCGGTACAAAAAAATCGGCACGAAAAAAAAATTCAAGCACTTGCTCCTGCAGCAAACAACAGTTGCATGAAGGTGCGCCGCACGACGCAACCTCAGCCAAGCAGAGGGGATGGCAGGGGGCCGGCGCAGCTAACCGCCGCGGCGCCGCGGCGCTCTCGCGATGGCCTCAGGTCCCCTAGCCGGCAACAAACTCAACCGTGGTCACGACGCCGTCGATGTCCTGCGCGGCCGGGAGCTGCCCGGACACGTCCGCGTTGTCGAAGACATACACGGTGCCCTCAAGGTGGATCGGGGCCGGCGCCTGGCCGTCCGGCGCAAGCAGCCGAAGCGCCTCACCAAGCACCCTGGCGCGCAAGGCCACCTGCTTGCGGCCCTCGCGCAGCCCTGATAGGGAAAGGTGCAGGGGAAAGGTGCGGCAGGGAGTGTGGAACGGGCAGTCAGGGGTGGGGAGCAGCAGGGACCCTTGTGGCGCTACAGGGGTGCATCCGCAAGGAGAGATAGGAGCGCGAGCCAAACAGGCAGGCAGTCAGGCAGGCAGGCAGGCAGTCAGGCAGGCAGGCAGGCAGGCTAATCAGGCGGGAAGACCAGGCGACAGCCGTAGGATCGCGCACGCACAGGTACCAGGCAAGTTTGAGCAAACGAGAGGGGTCCAGGACGCCCGTGGACCCGTGGCGTCACCCACCTGCCAGGCTGCTCTTCACCTCTGCGGTCTGTATTGTGACCCCGCGCTCGTCGACGACGACAATGGGGGCGGCGTCGAACTCCACGCACTCCCAAAGCTCGCCGACCGCCCGCGCCACCAGCAGCGGCACGCCCAGGCTGCCGGACGCCAGCAGGTGCTGCGGCGCAGTGCCACCCTGCGTCGCGTCCAGGTACTTGAAGCACCGCCTCAGCGGCTCCAAACACCACACCTGCCGCGCGCCGGCCTCAGGCCCGGCCTCCTGGCTGCCGCTGGCGCCGTGGTCGCCGCTGCGTGCTCCTGCAGCGCGGGTCAAGGCGCCTCGGAGGGCTCCCAGGGCCTGGTGTGGGCGGGGGACAGTGGGGCGCAGTCGTATTGACGCGCTCAGCAGCCAGCACCCCGAGTCGATCGCACGCAAGGCTCTCCAGTGCCAGCCGCGTTCAAGGGCACGCACGTCGGTGCGTCTCAGTCCAGTGACCGCCACGCCTGCTTGTTTTGCATGACGACCCCGGCCGCCCAGCCCCGCACCCCAGGTGCCACCGACGAGCGCCTGGCCCCTCACCTGCCGGATCCTCGTCGTCTCTGTGGCCCCCTCTTCCAGAACCTGCCGCAGCCTCTGGATGGCGGTGGCCACCTGGGCGGCCCTTGTGGCGCCCGTCCTCTCTAGCTGCTGCACCAGCAGGACCAGGTAGTGGCTAAACTCCTGCAGGCTGTGCGCGGCAGCGGCGGGGTATGCAGCAAGCGGCAGCACGGTGTCGGCAAGATGCGCGCACGCCGCGCGCACGCCGCACGTCTAGCGTACCCCGGCAAGACGCCTGCAGGCTCCGTCGCTCTTCACGCAAACGGCGGGCCGTCGGAGCCGCGGCTCGCCCCTGATGGGCACGCCTTCCTGCTCGCACTCGAGGGCTGCGATGCCGCAGCGCTGGGCGTGCGCCCGCCCTCGCGCGAGCCGGAAACAGCAACAGGCGGCTCACCTGGCAAGCCGCTCCGCCAAGTGGTGCACGTCAGTGTCAGGGCGGGCCGGTGCAAGCACCTGCGCACAGGAGACCAGGTCCCTGGCCACGACCCGCGGGCGCCCAAGCTGCCTTCTGATGATGTACTCTGCAACCCGGCCAACCCCCCCCCCCCCACCGCTGTCAGCTGCTTCTGCAGCTGTCCCAGCTGCTTGTGCTGCTGTGCCAGCTGCTTGTGCTGCTGAGCCAGCTGCTTGTGCTGCTGTGCCAGCTGCTTGTGCTGCTGCTTCTGTGTGACGAACACCTTGTCTATCCGCTGCTCCAGATGCTGCTGCCCCTCGTCTATCCGCTGCTCCAGTCGCTGCTGCCCCTCGTCTATCCGCTGCTCCAGTCGCTGCTGCCCTGCTGATAGTGAATCCATCCGCTGCTCCAGTCCCTGCTGCAACTTGGCTAATGAATTTATGACTTTGTCCAGAGCCTGTGCCTGCTGGCTGTCCTCGTCCCGCGGCGGCTGGGCGCTGGAGTCTGCCGCGCGGGCCTCGCAGCATCGACGCACTGGCCACCACCCACTCCAAGGCACGCCCCGCAGCTGGCAGGGCTGGAGGGCTCGGCAGCGCAGCTGTGCGTCCATGATGCGCGCATGGCCGCCTCTAGGTATTTGCATACCATACATGACCTGCCCTATTGGAGAAACGAGGAACGGCAACTTGGGCGGCTGGCTTTCGCAGCGCGGGCTTGCGACTGGCAGAGCTTATGATGCGGGTGCGCATGGACAACGGCTTTGTTTAGTGCAGCCAGAAACAGCTTGGAAGCCACCTCAGATCGCATCGCGCAATGTGGACCGCGGACGCCCGAAGCTCCCCACCGTTGAGATAGACGCGCCGTGCTTTCTAACTTACAGGTCCCGGGACCTGGCGGAGGATGATGAGTGAGTGTGCGCGCGCGCTGAATGAGCGCGCCAGCTGTAGCTTGCACTTGTGCGTGCAAGAAGTTCGCAGTTGTATCAGATGGCAGGCCACCAGCAAGCTGTACCTAGTCAGACCTCACCAGCCTGTTTCCCATAAGCAAAATCCCTAGGGAATCCTCGGGAACTTTGGGCCCCGAGGGAAGTTTGCGTCTCCCAATCACCGGGATTCCTTCGGCAATCCTTGGGGATTTCCGGGACCTCTAGGGGTTCCCTGGGATTCCCGGGGCCTCGGGAGACTTTTAGTTTGCTATCACTGCATACACGTTGGCGTTCTTCCCCGCAGGCACCACACATGATTGCACAATTCAAGCAAAGCTGAGTGGGAGTGAGCGCGGGTCAAACGGTGTTCTTATAGCAAGCTGCGTCAGCTGGCCAGTCCAAGAGTATGCTGAAATATTTTGCATTGTTAAGATGAATGAGTGCTAGGCCGCAGTACACACACGCAAACAATGCATCAACACACTCGTGGTTGTCCGCGTGGCGGCCATGTCAGCATGGGAGCCGCGGAGGATCCGCGGGGAATGAAACGTGTTGAAGTGTTGCACAGAATGCATACTTGCCGGAGGATCCCCGAGGCATGATTTGCAATCACCCGAGGGAGGAGATGGGAAACAGGCTGTCTATGAGAAACAGGCTGCACTTCACCTGCGCATGAACGCAACTTGCTTGTGCAAAGTCATGGCTGGCGGGCAGCATTCTGTTGGTAGGTACTTGCATTGCGGCTGGCGCACATCTTGTGCTGCCTTCGTCGTAAACAGCCCTCTGTCCTGACCTGCAGTTGCATCGCTGTTTATTTTTTGTGATCCCTATGTGATCACAAAATGCATTCTGCCAGCCCAGGCAAGAACACACATGTTGCCACCAGCAGCATGCGCGGCCAATGCAATGCAGAATTGCGCAATCCGCTGTCTGTCAAGGCTGGCAAGTAAATTTGGACTGCTGGCCATCCACTCTGCTGATGAACTGTTGATCATTGTGGCAATCGATGAGTTGGAAATGTGGGAAGTAGTAATCCTGCCAGCATTCAAGTGCACAGAGATTTGGGTATGAAGAGGTTTCATGCCATAATGTGTAAGTAGGGGTCAAATGAACAGATGCCTGACCGAGAGTGGAAGCACATCAGCGTGCCCCCGCATGTGGCGCGGCCAATTTCACAATTGGTATCCAATGGCCACCTGCCAGTTGCTGTGTTGCTAACTTCCCCAATCGGCGTGATGCCAGACTGATACTCTGCGCTTGATTTGAGTATTACTTCAAACCTGTTTAAAAACTGGGCAAGTTGGGTGGCCTTCGAACGAGAGCGGTCGTTCGCTCATTCGCAGGTCCCAGACGCGTTGCTGCAGCCTCGTATGAAATTGCGTAAGCCTGAAACGCACATAAGGTACAGCATATATCAACCACGGCAAGCCGGCTCAAACAAGGGCAGCAGTTGGTAACAAGGTTACGGGTGTGTGCCACCAGTCGTGCTGGCGCAGCTGGCACAGAGACACAAAATGTCCACTGTAGTGCTGATGGTGTTTGCGACCCTATTAGTTGCTGTGCTGCCAGCAACCACAGCACAGACAATGGCGCCGGCCTCGGCTGATGTTGTGGTCAGCAGCAACGCCACAGCAGCCGTGCCTCCTGATCAGCGGCGCGCAGCCGCTGCGGCGGCAGGCGGGGCGCTCGTTGAGCGTGCCGCTACGTACAAGGGGCAGGCACGCTGCGTGAAGGTGTGAGCGCACCCTCAGGCTCCATGCATGCTGACATACCCGCATCCGCTGCCACCTGGGATGTCGCCCAGGTGCTCTCAGCCTGAATCAACATGGTCCACAGAACACGATCTACAACTCCTTGCAACTCAAACGATGGTCATGTGCACGCTTGCACCTGATGCTCTCCGATCCAGGTTCCTGGCTGCCCGCCTGTTCCGCGGGGCTCTGCGGCCTCGCCGTTTGACCGCGCTGTGCTCGGCGCTTGTGAGGCGGCGGGCGGCTGCACGGCTGCAAAGGGCCGAGGCCTGTGCAAGGCGGCCTTCATGCTGGAGGTGGACGTGGACGCGGGCGCCATTCAGCAGTTTTGCGGGGAGGTGTGCCCCTGCCCGGGGGAGCAGAGCGGTGCATAAGGCGCCGCCAACATTGCGCGAGGCGCCGCAATGGCGCTTGCATGACAGGGGCGCCGCGACGCATGAGGCGCTCAGCACGGCATGTGGGTCGACGAGGCGTGCTGCTGCCAGGAGAATTGCTGCTCCTTGTGTTTCAATCACTATCTGACCGGTCAAGTTCTTATGGAGCATGTCAAGGGTCAGGTTATACTGCCGTCTGCGGAATGCGACGAGTGTTGCCAGAGGCATGCCCGCCAGTCCCGGCTGGGCACCGCCTTGCATTGTGTAACACGATTACCCGCTGCGACATGCCCAGGTATATAATACTTGTCGTATCATGCGTTTGTTTAGGGTGCCTGGTGCTCTGCAGATTCCTGGGTTTGCAGTCAGTGCAGTCTTAACGTGCATGCATGAGCGAACTTTCCTGACACATGGACCGCACAAGGCAAGCGCGAGGTGTGTCGAGGCACATTGTGCTTGAATTCACGTGTGCACTCCTGCTCTGGATGCTCGCCCCAGGCTGAGCCAGGTGCCGGCAAGCCAAGAACCGACGTAAACCGACTGCATCATGGCCTTGGCTAGTGGCAGCACATCACAGTCGCCACTTGACGTGCAGGCTTGGGCCCAAAATCGCACACCCGCCAGTCTCTTCAATACGAAATTGGCAATGCTTGCGATGCCACTTCGCCACGTATGAAGCTCACAGCGCCAAGCGACGGTTTGCACGACGAGCCTACCCTCTTAATGTGCGCAGATTATGGTTGTGATTGCATGTGATATCTGGATATTGCGCGTCGGTCTTGCTCGACGGCTGATCGCTTAGGTTTGCACCGCAGGCGCCCCTTGCAACCAACCTCAGCTTCGCCTGTGCAAGAAATAGAGGCCCTGGACACCGTTGAAGCCCCTAGTCCAAGCAGCAGCCCTAGCTGCCGCCCCTCCACCAGCAGCCCAGCGAGTACCAAGTCAGCGGCGCTCCAGCGCCCCATCGCCGCGCCGGCCGCCGCAATCGCCGCGCCTCCGCAGCGGCCGGGCGCAGCCATGGCGTCGCTCGCAGATCAGCTGGACATCGTGATCCCCACGATCCGCAACCTCGACTTTCTGGAGCAATGGCGGCCGTTCTTCCAGCCATACCATCTCATCGTGATACAGGACGGCGACCCGACGCGGGCAGTGCGCGTGCCAGAGGGCTTTGATTATGAGCTGTACAACAGGTGCGTGTACAGCTATGTATGTACACTTTGGGGAGCTGCAGGTGTGCAGAGGCTGCGGCCGCGTTCGACGCTGCAGGGCGCCCCTGCGTCACCCCGCTCGGGCGCACCACAGGTGGTTCACATGCAATGGGCCCGCGGTGTGAGCCATGCCCCGCGTTTCAGCGCCTTTGCGCGACTCTCGTCCAGCGCGCGAGAGCACTGGGCGTGACCCCTCCCCTGTCCTGTCCACAGGAATGATATCGAGCGGCTGCTCGGCGACAAGGCGTGGTGTATCAGCTTCAAAGACAGCGCCTGCCGCTGCTTCGGCTTCCTGGTATCCAAGAAGCGATACATCTTCACTATCGACGACGACTGCTTCGTGGCCAAGAACCCGAAGGGGGAGGTGAGTGGGTTGGAAGTGGTTGCGTATACCGCATGTCGCCCTTGACCCGACGTGACCTGCGATGCCATGCAAAACTGGTGCTGAGCGCGGCGTTATGTTCAATTCTCGAGGGAGAATGTGTGTATTCGTGTGTGTGTGTGTGTGTGTGTGTGTGTGTAGGGGGCATGTGTGTGCACGCGTGCGTGGGCTGCTTGTATGATGCCCAGCAAGACAGGCGCGCACCCAGCGGCATCGCTCAGCAGCCACCTTGGCCGCCACCCCCCTTAAAGCCTCACTCCAGTGACGCCACAACCCGACGACATCGCAACCCCTCAGGACATCAACGCGCTGCAGCAGCACATCCAGAACCTGCTGACGCCCTCGACGCCGTACTTCTTCAACACGCTGTACGACCCATACCGCGACGGCGCCGATTTTGTGCGGGGCTACCCCTTCAGGTGAGGCGGCCCCGTGCGGCGGGCTTGGTGGTGACCAATGACAGGCGGCGAAGGCACCGAGGGCCGGGGTGGGGTGGAGGCAACGTGCAGGTGGGCAGAACACTCACTGCG